GCCCGAGCGTCTTGTACAATTGAGCTGCAGCCCCGCGGGCTCTTGAATAAGGCTTAGCTTGAGCGCTAAGCCTGTGCTGTGCTGTGGGCTTGCGCCTGTCATGGTGTACAGCTACTACAGTAGCGTCGGTCGCCAACCACGGTCCACCTTCCTTCCTACATCTCATACATTAGGTGAAAACAGACGTTCACTTATCCTCTGACCTTCAAAATGGTCTTTCTGTGGCTCAAGGATCTAAATAAGGTCGTCCCACTTCGCCTAAGGCCATCTAAAAAATTGAAGAAAGGACGCACACAACACAGCTCGACAAGTTGGACAACCACCGGTCATAAGGGCGATAGCTCACCTGCAGATTTTTCTGCCAGTCCCTTCTCTTTGCACGCGCCCACTTCGAATCCATTGCTAATGCAGCCCATTTCTGCAACTAGAGAATCCGTCAATTTGGAAGCCTCCATCACTGTTCCTTCCAGATCCTCTGGCAGCGTACCACTTGCCCGCAAAGTTTATGACATGGTTCCGGTGGCTTTGCCATTGGTACGGGCCATTGCAGGTGTGATTCCACTTGTTGGCTCTCCGATGGAGGCGGCTATCGGTGGACTAATGTCAGTCCTTCAAACTTTAAATGTGAGAGCTTGAACAATCATGAGGACGTTTATTGATTTTAACGGACATCACAGACGCATGATCAGAACAAGGCGGACCTCGATAGTCTGACGAAACAACTCAATCAACTGAGCTGCGATTTGTGCAACGCCCCACCTGCTTGCAATCCTTCTGAACAATTCCGGAGAGATTCATTTGTCAGGTATATACTTTTTTCAGTGTGTGCCGAATTGCATCTGACATCAAGCCGAACTTAGGATGCTGCAAGATACCTCAACCCGAGTGGCTACGTTGCATGAACGTTGTTTCGCATCCACATCCGTCACACAAGGTATTGCTGAATGCTTCAATGAAATCGACCGTCATTTGGCGCGTTATCTGGTTGCGTTCTGTATTCTCTCAAAATTGTTTGCCTTCACTCACTACTCTATTTGGTTAGTTGTCGTCGCAAATGCAAATTCAACGTGATATACACGAAGAGTCACGGAGGCAGCGGGAAGCGAATCAGGAATTGTTGATCGCAATGCAAAGCCTGATGAACAGAACTGTCGCACTGGCTGGTTGCGTGATACTGGTAGATGCAACAGGCCACGACCATGCAATACCTGTGAATTTCTGCACCTCATTTCAGGTCTGCTCACCAACCTCAAAATTCGTCTTGTGGACGTCTACTGATAAAATTCTCTGTAGCAACTAAATAAGATGCTCCGAGTTCTGTTTGAATGTGACTCTGTCGAAGCACGCATTCAGAAACGATATGTAGAAGAAGGACAGTACGATTTGTGCATCGACGATGGCAGACAAGTAACCCGACTTACAAGCCAGTCAAGCATTCTAGCAGGCACAAAGATTGTCATGAGGGTTATCTTCGAACAGGAGATGACATCTTTCTCTGAATTTGACTACAAATGTCATTTTTGCGGCGCTGTGAATCACTTTCCCGTCGAGTCTGTTATGCATTCGCTTGAACAGCAGGCCGGTTGTTCGATTGATTGGTGAGTATGTCTGTCCCCTAGGGGCTGCTGATGCCTAACAGTCAGAAGTCGAGTATGCAAACGACGGTTTCAGATCTCCCGTGATCCCCATGTGAAGCAGAGCATACAGTCCTGTAATAGTAATTCCACTGAAGTGAGTGATGAAGAACTGCGCCTCATTCACAACTTTCTTGTGCAGCAAAGCGTATGTCATCATGAACCTCGCAAGCAACCATCTTAAGCTGAAAACTTGGTCAACAGGCCGTACCCCCGCCGTAATTCACATTCTCACCAGATTGGTACTAGAATAGTGTCTTGCCGCTGGCTTGTCGGAGACAATATGACATGCGTATTTGAAGGGACGCTGGATGCATTCAGAACCCATGTCATTGGATGTCATCTCCAAGTGTCTCGCGGTGCGGTAATAGTACCATGTCATTGGCAAGGTTGCAGAAGGCTTCTTGGTTTAGTACCAAGTGGCACTCTGACTAGGACCCCGGAAATTCTCGGATCCCAGTACTGCGCTCACCAGCGTTCTAGACGTCGCCGACGTCAAAGCTTCCAAACCTAGTACCAATACACGCCAGTTCAACTCCAACAGGTATACTGTTGTCTTCAGAGTTAATGGCTACCGGGAAGTCGCGTCCAACGCCATTGGGGACCGGCAATACGGGCACTCGTGCTCCTACTCCCACAAATAGAATCAGAGCATCCCATCGTAACACAGTATCATTGCTGTTGACAAGAGACGAAATCATGCTACAAGAATACGACGTCAAAGACAAAGAAAGCAGCGTCACATTCTTAGAGAAGTCCCCCTTCCGTCATCTAGGCGAACCTATGTCGAACGAAAGCTTAATATTAACAATTCTTCACATCACTCAGTACACAGGCATCCCTCGAACAGCTATAGAAGGACTAAGGGCTGTCGCAGTACTCCTCGAAGACAACCTCAACAGTACTCAATCCCTAACTTCAACCACCCAGCAGCTTGCCGACTCTCTTACGACATCGCTCTCGGCCCAAGTCGTGGCCAACCTTTCGTCATCGCTCTCAGCACACGTCATAGCAGCTATCTCGCCTCAAATAGCTTCCATACTCACCACGTCAGAAAGCCTCAAATCAAACGTCGAAAAACTAGCAAAATTCAAATCAGACTTGGAAGCAAACTCCGAAAACATCAGCACAACCACATCTGCCTCAGCAGCTGCCACACGAGCGGAGAAGGCAGCAGATGCCGTATTGAACAGTATCTCTGACGTTAAAAACGCATTACTAACAGCTCACCCACCCTCCAACCAGCCGAATAGCGCCCTTTCATATAGCGCAGCAGTACGACAGAACACCCAACTCCCAGCACCGGTCTCGGCAGCACTCATACGTGCAGCAACCAAAGAGCGCCAGATTCTACTTGAACCAGCAACAGGCGGGAGGATATACGAGCCTAACGACAACTCAATAGATATAGCAAAGAAAATCAAGAACGCATTTGCAGCAACCTCGACCGAAGACTCACCCGAGATACAGATCAAGGCTACCACTCGCTTGAGAAACGGGGGACTCATAGTTGAACTAACTACGGCAGAAGCGGCAAACTGGCTACGTGCACCAGAAAACAGACTGAAAGTCACAGGCGCCCTAGAATCCCCAGTATACATCAAGGAACGACGCTTCACCATCATTGTCCCATTCCTACCAGTAACACTCGGCATCGAGGACGCAGAATGGCGTCGCGCAGCAGAGGAGGAAAACAGCCTACCGATAGGCTCCATAGAAGCGGCTGGCTGGATCAAACCCAGAATCTGGAGATCACCAGGCCAGAAAGTAGCTCACGCTCTATTCCACTTCGCAGATCCAAAGGCGGCCAACACAACACTACGCGATGGTATTTACATCAATCAAGAAAAATACCACCCACGCAAGGACAAGAGGGAACCGGTAAGATGCGTCAAATGTCAACTCTGGGGCCACATAGCAAAGGATTGTAATGCCTCAACGGATGTATGCGGGACTTGCGGCAAGAATCACAGGACCAATGAATGCAATGCCTACAAAACATTCTACTGCGTAAGCTGCAACTCACAGAATCATGCGAGTTGGGACAGGAATTGCCCAGAGTTCGGAAATAGATGCGCAGGAATCGACGCTAAGCTCCCAGAAAACTCGATGCCCTATTTCCCCACTGACAAAGACTGGACACAGGTAATGCTGCCTCCAAAGCCAGCGCCCTATCGAAAACCTATCGAACAGCCGCCACCTGAAGCTAGACCCCCTCTCCGTCAAACTAACCTCCCTTACGAAAACAGAAGAAACTATGGCAAGCCATTGCGAGGCATGCCCACACAATTTGGCCGTTCCCACCTCCGCGCATTCACTCCAACAGGCTCTAACTCGATCCCACTCCCTCCAGGCTGGGACAAGGACCCCCCCTCGGCCAGCAACTCAGCAACAAACTTCACCTACAAATGCAACCGCGCCGTCAACCCCCATTCATCCTTCCACCAACGAGCCATCAACTCCTGCCTCCATTCTGTCCTACCCCACCTCTTCCCCCTCCTCCTCTTGCAATGATACCCCACGGACCCCTACCCCATCTAATGTCTGAACAACCGAACAACTCAACGACCCGGCTACGAATCTGGCAACAAAACATAAACACCTCTTTAATCGCCCAACATTCCCTTCTCAACAGCCCCATCGCCCGCGAATGGGACGTAGTAGCATTACAGGAACCGCACATCAACCGAATGAAAAACACCATATCCTCACTGTACTTTCATGCAGTCTATCCTACCACCCGCTTCTCATCCCCCGAAATGACATCCCGCGCTACTACACTAATATCTAAAGCTCTCGACACCAACTCATGGCAACAAATCCCATTCCCGTCTCCTGACGTGGTAGTAATTCAATTCCGCGGACCCTTTGGACGATGCACTCTTTTTAATATCTATAATGATTGTAAACTAACGAAAACCCAGGAGGCACTGGCCTCATTCCTCGAACGCAAGATACCTCACCTGCGTCCTTCGGCAGACGACCATATGATATGGCTAGGAGATTTCAACCGACACCACCCACTATGGGATGAGGACAGGAACACGCAACTCTTCAACAATCAGTACCTCAACGCTGCGCAACCACTACTCGACCTTATCGCTGACTATGGTATGATTATGACGCTCCCTAAAGGTCTGCCAACACTCCAGTCCTCCAGCTCAAAGAACTGGACCCGCCCAGACAATGTATTCTGTACTGATCACACAGGAGAATCTTTTATCAGCTGCACGACCAATCCAGCCTTACGCGGACCAGCGACTGACCACGTGCCCATCCTAAGTATTCTCGAACTTGAACTCCCCCAAGCAATGGTTGACATCAAGCACAACTACCGCGAAGCCGATTGGGAGGTCTTTGACAAGGAACTAAGAAACGAACTGGATAAGATCCCACCTGCTCAACCACTTGTCACTAACACCAAATTCCAGACTGCAGCGCGCACTCTCACAAACCTAATCCAAGAAGTTATTGAGCGGGTAGTACCCAAATCTAAGCCTAACCCTCACTCCAAGCGCTGGTGGACCAAGGATTTAACAATCATGCGCCGTGAAGTAGCTAAACTCAGCCATCTCTCTTACAAGCATAGGGACCTCGCAGGTCATTACAGCCACGAGGAACATCGCGTCAAACGCAATCAATACGCCGAAGCCATCAAACGGACCAAGAAGGACCACTGGATCGAATGGCTAGAGGACCTATCAGGGAATGACATCTGGACTGCTAATAGATACCTTACAGCAACGGCTAGCGATGGAGGCCTATCAAGAATCCCCACTCTCAAATGCTCAGACGGAGGCACCGCCGACACTAACGAAGACAAGAGCGCAGCATTGGCAAAGGCTTTTTCCCCCCCTCCACCAGATCATTCATCAGTACCCGAGGACTATAACTACCCGGACGCGCTCCCCACCCCAGAGCCCATATCTATGTCGCAATTACAGCGCAGTATCTCGAAGTTAAGCCCATACAAGGCCCCAGGCCCTGATGGGATTTGTAATATAGTGTTCAAACGTTGTACTAATGCACTCCAATCCCGCCTCCTCTATCTATTCAGAGCCGTTTTCACACTCAAGACCTACTACGTCCCTTGGCGTGATTTCATCACGGTCGTACTGCGAAAACCGGGCAAGCCAGATTATACAATGACCAAGGCCTTCAGACCGATAGCACTCCTCAACACGACTGCGAAGCTCCTGACTGCCATAGTCGCGGACGAAATGACGTATCTCCTGGAGCGTAACAACCTCCTCCCCAGCACGCATTTCGGAGGCAGACCGGGCCGCTCAACCACAGACTCACTCCACCTACTCGAATCCACGATCAAAGACGCCTGGCGTCAGAAGAAGGTAGTATCCGCCCTGTTCCTTGACATTGAGGGAGCTTTCCCTAACACAGTCACCGACCGTCTACTACACAACATGCGCACTAGAAGACTCCCAGAATTGTTAGTAGGATTCACGGAACGACTGTTGATGGGAAGGCGCACACAACTAAAATTCGACAGACATCTGTCGGACTGGATCCCTATTACTAACGGAATCGGACAGGGCGACCCACTATCAATGATATTATATATCATATACGATTCAGACTTAGTGGATATAGCCAAGGGACACGCAAAGCAGGAACGTACCTTAGCCTTCGTGGACGACACAGCTTTCATAGCCATCGGGAAGACCTTCCAGGAGACTCACGCTACACTCAAGGATATGTTAGAACGCAGCGGAGGGGGCTATGAGTGGGCTCTAGCGCATAACTCGAAGTTTGAGACGTCTAAGTTCGCACTGATGGACTTTTCTATGAATTCAGCGAAAGAATGGCCACCTCTCATCACGCGAGGTATAACGATCACGCCCACCGCAACGCACAAATTCCTGGGAGTTATCCTGGATGACGCACTCAGATGGCAAGCCCACATTGCCTACGCCATCGCCAAGGGCACAGCCTACGTATTCCAACTTCGTCGACTCTCCTCCACATCCATCGGAATTCCCCTTTCCCTAATGCGACAACTCTACCTCTCTGTAGCACTTCCGAAAATCCTATACGCGGTCGACCTTTGGTTCTGCCCTATATTCATTGGTACGCACGACAAACCTCAATCAGGCTCAATGGGAGTAGCCCGCCGCATAGGCCGAGTACAGAGACTCGCTGCCCTAAGTATCACTGGCGCTATGAGATCCACAGCTAACGACACCTTAGAAACACACGCGAAATTACTCCCAATGGAACACCGGATGCAAAACCTTTGTTACCAAGCCGCAATACGTCTTGCGGCGCACCCGAAGTCCCACCCGTTAAGTGATCCCATCCACAAAGCGGCCAAGAAGTACATGAAACGTCACCGCTCATCCCTGCACTACCTATACCGAGCCTCCGAAATCGACATCAACTCAATCGAAACCATCACTCACAGTAGAAGACCTCCGAATGACAAGAACCCTTACTCTATCCACATTGCATCGACAAGAGAATTGGCTATAGCGGCTCACGACGCAAACGAAGACAAAATCAAGGTATACTGTGACGGATCCGGGTTGGACAAGAAGGTAGGAGCGGCAGCAGTTTTATATAGGAGAGAAAAACCACGACCAAACATCCTGCGTTATCACCTCGGGACTACTGACGAGCACATGGTCTTCAAAGCCGAAGTCTTGGGACTAACTCTCGCAGCTCAGTTGATCTCACAAGAAGAGGATGTCACGTACCCCATCTCCATATTCGTCGACAACCAGGCGTCAATCAAATCCGGTGAATTGTTCTCTACGAAACCGGGTCATTATTTGATAGACAATTTCCGCAGCCAACTAGACAAGCTTAAGAAAGCCAGCTGCAACCAAAACTTCAAGATCAACGTTCATTGGATCTCAGGACATGATGGGGTAGCAGGGAACGAAAAGGCGGATGAGGAGGCAAAGATAGCAGCGAAAAGCCGCAGAGACAATAGCGCTACCCACAGACTACCACCCTTCCTCCAGAAGGGAGTCCTCCCCAGCAGCCTCTCAGCCTTGAAGCAGGCCCAGAAACGCGAATCATCGAACCGCTGGAACAGAAAATGGTCAACTTCCCCGAGACACGCTCACGCTATCTTCGTAGATCCAAAGCTTAAAGCCGCGAGCAAGTCCTTCATCTCATTAGTCCAGCATCTACCGAAACGACATATCAGCCTAATGCTATGGCTACGCACCCGCCACATCTCTCTCAATCAGCACTTGCATCGCATAGGAAAAAGTCTCTCTCCTAACTGCCCCCACTGTACAGACATCCCAGAAACCGTCCAACACTTCCTCCTCCTATGCCTGCAGTACGCACGCGAACGCCACACTCTCTCCAACATCCTCAAACGTAAAGCGCTGTCCATGTCCTTCCTGCTCTCCGATGAGAAGGCCACGAACCACCTCATTCGTTACGTCAATAGTACAGGACGTCTAAAACCAACATTTGGTGATGTCCCGCCCAGTTCTCGCTGAAATCAGATAACGTCAGTATTGCCCACACAGGTAGAACGAAAACTCTATACATGCTCGCAGTACCTGCAAGCATCCATTTAGCACTCGCTGTCGCAGGGCAACTCGCGCCGAACCACGGCCACCATGGAGATCAGTCGGAGGGAGACTCAAAAGTCAAGCTTGGGTTAGAACATTTGTTGAAGAGATACACGGTACAGCACGGATCAGTTAGCAGCACGACGCGCCAATCCAGACTTACCTTTACCTTTCCACCCGTACTCCATTAACTCCCCTCGTACAACGACCGCCTCGGCGGTCCGAGTATTTGTATACCTATTATCACTCGCCAGACCCACATACAAACGAGACGTATCAGAAACGGCCCCGTGGAGTAGCGGACCCGTGCATCTAAAACGGCCGGCAGGAACGGCGGACCAGCGGAGGTCATACCTCCACTGGGGCATTTGCAGAGTCGGAGACACGGTGGGGGACACAGGTGTCCCCCTTTCCTAGATAGAATTGTCCTACATAGGGTACTATACCCCAACCGGACAGAAATTGGATTCAAAAAAAAAAAAAAGGTTGCAGAAACGCTCGCGGCATGCGGCGCGACTCAATCTTACGTCACATTCGTGAGGTCCATCTGGGGACTCTGTTTCGAATAATGCTATGAGTAGGACGAGTGACTGATCTTTCTGTGTTCATATGATGCACCTCAATGTACAGCTCGTGTGCTGTTGCACTTGCTACCATTGGCTCCTTGTATGTGAAGCCAAGCCGGTTTCCGACCATCACTCCGACTCCGCTACGGCTCCTGCGTACATGTAGTATTATACTGCAATCTCATGTCTACGGCTTGTGAATATCGGACGACGAAGATTGAGCTACATGGGCAGCAACTTGTATGGAGAAGGCTGAATGATGATTTGTACACAATATTGATGGAGTGATGTAAACATCTGAGGTCTATCCGACAGCTGAGAAGAGGGGTCTATGCCATGGAAGTGGTTGCGTATGCTCGTGCCAGAGCTACTAGTATAAGACGCGGTGTTCTATTGACTT